GCTGCTATTATTATTTAAAATAGGAATTATCTCTTCTTGCAGGGACGAGAGGATATGACTCTGCAAATGGATGAGGAGAGAGGAGACAGGAAGTCTGCCTGAGATGAGGCTGCCAGGACACCATTTGTTTGTTCCCACACTAGTGGCATTTACTGTCACACAGGGAATTAGAAGGAAGACCCAGGTCCCTGTCTCCACAACCCATCTGACCCTTTATGACAGCTTCACTGGCCTGAAAACTCCATTTCTTTCTGAAGGAGCATTGAAACAACTTCAGGGAAGGAGAAGGGGCACTGAGCTGGGATTCTGTCTTTACTAGTCACCAGTTATATGACTGTGGGCAAGTCACCTCTGAGGGCCTGAGTTTCCTCATTGGCAAAATGGTGAGAAACACACTTTGGATTGTTATGAGGATTAAGTTACTCTAATTATAAAGTGTCCAGGACAGGGTTAGGCATACAGAAGCACTAGATGAGTGTTTGTTAAATAAAGGTCTGAAGTCTGGAGTGAGGATAACAAGGATCACACCACACTGCTGAGTGACTCTTCACTTCCAAAGCCTTGTGCACTCATTGTCCCAGCTCATCCCATCACAACTACTGCCTGTAACAGTTGACAATCAAATATTTGTTGATTGACCAAATAAATGAAGTGTGTAAGGTAAGCAAGAATACATAAAAATTTAAAAAGTAATAATATATGATATTAAGAACTCAGGACGGGGAAATCATACAGACTCAAATCCTGGTTTCACTACTAAGAGGCTGTGTGACAATTAACAAATGAGCTTGTCACCTTATCTATAAAATGGGATGAATGACAGTACCTGGCTCATTATTGCTGCAGGAGTTAAAAGGGGTGATACGTAAAACTAGAGGCCCAGTGCACAAAATTCATTCATGGGTAGGATCCCTAGGCCTGGCCAGTGATCAGGGCTGATCAGGGCCTTCTGGCTGCTGGCTGGGGCCTCCTTTCCCCAGCTGCCTGCTGCTGGCTGGGGCCTTCCTTTGTTCCACGCTGCTCTCTGGTGGTCAGTGCATGTCATAAGGACCAATAGAACTCCAGGTCTCCCGGTCAAACTCCAGGGACACGTTGTATATTAGCCTTTTATAGATGCCCAATAGATGCTAGTGTCAATATCCTCCTCCCCTGCTGCAACTAGGGGAATAGGCCCAGAGAGGGGAAGTTGGTGGAGGAGACCCAGGCTTTTGCATTGCCTGCTCAGTTTGCAGTTGCAGTGTGAGTCCTTCTGGGCCATTTCTGTGCAATGCAGAGAAGACAGTGTCAAGGTGAACTCTGGCTCAGTTGCATCTAACAGTGAGACCTCTCTAAGTCTCAGTTTTCTCAGCTGTACTAGAGGACCATAATCTTCACCTCTCTGGGAGGCTGTGAGGATAAATGAAAGTAAACATTTAACCACTAAGTTCAGCAGGTGTTCTTCAGCAAATGGCCAAGTTGTTACCATCATCTCTGACTTGGAACTCTAGCTCTGGATGCTTTCTAGGGGAGACTGCTTCTGTCCTTCACCATATCTATTCCAAGTCCTAAGAAGGTGGGTAGGTGATTTGAAGGGGAAGGCAGTAGGGATGTGAGCAGGGAGCCAGGGCTGCTGTCAGGGACAAAGGGACCATGTATGGCCTCTTGAGTGCAGAGCACTGGATGGAGAGTGAGTATCCCAGAAATACCTGGGTGTGCAGGCAGAGGAAACCTCTAGGCCTAGCTGATGCAGAGTTCCCACGGGGATGCAGAGGCTTGAGAAGGGGCGGAGGAGGAGGTTAAAGGAAGGAGGTACCTCAAGGTTCTGGAGCCACAGGCCAAGGCATTAGATTCTGTCCTAAAGGCTTTGGGAGCTATAACCTTCTTGAGCAGGAGAGTAACATGGTCAGCAATGCAAAGGTTTATCTGCCCCATGTGCCAGATGGACTGGTAAGGGAGAGGCAGGGGTCAGGGGATCAGGGAGGAGGAAATCATAGCTCTCTCTTAACCTCTGATTGGCTGGGTGAGGAAAGGGCTAGAGAACCTCTGCCAGGGTAGGCTGGTGAAGCCATGAGAGATGTCCTGTGAGGATGGCCCATGCCACCTGCTCCATGTTACTTTCATAGGGTTGCCAGGGGTGTGAGGGGGAGGCCCTAGGAAAAGAGCTGTGGTATTCTGGGGTCAGCACTAAGACCACCAGCTCAGAGGAGATGAGGCTGTGGAGAGGCAGGAGGAAGGGAGGCCTAGCTGTGGGAGAGGGACAAACACAGCAAAGGAGATGCAGCCGGGCCTAGGAAGCAGGTGGCCACCCTCCAGGCCTCTCATAGATTTGTGGACAGCCAGGGAAAGTATGTTACCCTCTCTGAGCCTCTGTTTCCTAGTCTTCTCTCCAGTTACACATTTCAGAGTCAGATATTCTTGGATACCCCTGCCCAGGGTGAGAGGGAGAGAGTCGAGGCACCCCAGGAAGAAACTGGGCTCTGGACAGGCACTTGGAAACCACCCAGATAGAGGGAGGAGGGTGGTGTGCACATGAGTTTAGTGTTGTGAGGACACATCCACACCCACACACTCAGGCTGCCAGTGCTGGGCCTCAGGCCCCTGGCTGTGTGGCCAGGAGGAATGAGGTCAGCTTTGGAGAATCTGCCCTGGACTCCCACACCAAGCCTGGGGGTCTGAGTTAAAGAACAAGACTTGGCCTTCCCTGAACCAGGATTTTCCATGGTCCTGGCCTAGCAGAATAAGGAGGGGGACCAATAATAGGAGAGAAGGTAGGGTTCCCTCTCTGAGCCTCAAACTCGCCTGCACTCCACACAGTCCCACCCCACACACCACCCCTCCATGACCAGGGGAGGGTGCTGATGGCCATCCTTTGCAGCAATGCTTGGACACCTCCTCTCTGGGAAGTCCTCCCTGAGTCCCCAGGCCCTGATTTTGGAGAATCCTCTGACCTCATATAGTCCATCCCCCAATGCTTGCCCAATCACAGTAATGAGATGCCCCCATTTCTGTGCTTCCCAGTGCAGGGCCTAAATTTGGTGCACACCAAGCACACTCTACCTGGCCTCTAGCATACTACCTTCAGGGGAAAAATGTCTTTAATCCAAATGAACTGTGGAGCTCAGGAGCAATGGCCGGAGGCCCTGCTAAGCAGCAAGTACCTCCACTCCAGACATGGCCTCATCCTGGCAGGTCCCCTTCTGAACCTTAAAAACTGACAGGCCAAAAAGGGGGCCTAAAATACTCAGTGCCTTGGAGCACATATGTCCAGCCCCAGGTCTGACTCTGCCAGCAGTGCTGTGGAACTTGAGACTTTGGTTTTCTCCTCCGCCCAGAGGTGGGATGCCTTTGGCTGAGTACCACTGAGTTCCATCCTAAGAAAAGCCACCACAAAAACTTAGCACCTTATAGGCCAAATGTCCTCCCCTCCGAGGAGCTATAGGAGCAGCTGATGTGCAGGTGCTGCAAGTCCCAGTGAGGAACACCCTTCATCACATCGCAGAGGGCCCTCCATTTTGGTCCTTTTTAAGCTTCTGCAGATTCTCAAACTGGGAATCAGCACCCAACTCGAGTGCTATGCCTTGGATGTGAGGGAGTAATGCTACCTGTGGGGACACTCCTCTTAACTACAGCCTTGGGCTCCAGCAGCCCCTAGGGAGACAGGAGCACCACTCTTACCTGAACCCCTGCCTCAGCAGCAGCCTCTCACCCAAGGTCAGTATGGCTGAAGACGAGGCAGCAGTCCCTGTGCTGACAGAGGCAGCAGAGAAAAGGCTGAGGGTGCAGCACCTGAGCCCCTGGGCCTTAAGGCCTCAGCCCTCCCCTGGTGGGCTGATTTTCTGTGGAGCAGAGAGAATCAGGGCACTGATTGCAGCTTGAAAAAGGCATGGCAGGAGTGGAGCATACCTGCATTGGAGACTGAATGGAAAACTTTGACCAAGTTGGGTTGTGAACTAGCAGAAACAGAAGGAAGAAGTGGGTTCTAAGACAGAGGGTGGGCCAATAGCTGGCCAGCTCTGGCCAGACCACTAACGGGCCCTTGGCACAGTAGCCCACTTGCTAATAGCACATGAGGAGTTGCCCATCTGAAGAAGGAAGGCTGTCTGTCCCCTGCACCGTGTCTTTGTGTACAGATGGCTTGGGCTTTCCAGGTCGTAACGACACCCCTCCATCCCCAAAAAAACCAGAGGGAGGCCCATCCACGTTGGCCTTCTAAGACTTTCTCAGGGCCAGTACTAGGATGAGCTAGTTGAATGAATGAGGCACTGGCCTGGGGTACAAACTTTAAGAGGGCGCCAAAATACTTAGTAACCAAGATAAGCAATATTTGATACAATATTTAAAAAAATCAAAATCAATGCAAAAATCTGTGATGAACAAAATACCAAAATTTCAAATAAAGATATCATTAGGATTGCTGATTTTTCAGTCTGCCTTGGGCTCCAATTTGGCTTGGCATGACTCCATTACTGATTCTATTTAATACTTCATCACAGAATTTTTTTGCATTATTTTGATCTAAAAATACATTAAATATTACTTATCTCAATTACTGATTGTTTGTCAGCCTATTCAATTTTGCACCTCTCTCATCTAATTTGGATTCCTGCCTGGGACAAGAGCTTCCCCTCTAGCCTCCAGTTCATTGGGGCCAACCTCACATAACCCGGTGACTGTGAACTTGCCACACCTCCAGAGGCATCCCTAAAGCCTTTCTGACACTCTTGTTCCCTGCTTCACCCTGTGAGGCTGGCATAGGGGCAGCTGATTGGAGTGATTTAGAGGCAGGGAGAAGGGCTCCTTCCCTTTGTCCCCAAATGACTCAAGCCAGGTTTGGGAGGAGCCTCATCTCAACGCTTGACCAGTTCCTCCAAACTCCCTTCCCCCCCTCGCCCTTCAAGCCAGGGTCAGAGCCCAGGCCTGGCCAAATGCTGGCACTGATGACATATAGACGCTGGGAGGTGTATGCACTGGGGCTGTGGATTGGGGCCTGGGGGGGGGGGGGGTGTCTTTACTTAGCTCTGGGAGGGCCTTTGGTAAAAAGGACCGGGGAGGGTCTAGGCGCACAGAGCAGTTCATCAGGGACCAGGAGTACAAAGCACAGGGCTGGCCCTGGGGCCGTACTCACCGCGGCCGTTCTGGGTGCGCCGGTACACGCTGCCCACGCTGAGGCGGCCCTGCTGCGAGCCGCTGCGCTCCGCCACCGGCGGGGGCGCGTCCGAGCTGCGCACGGGCAGGTAGGGCGGCTCCGGCATGCGGAACGGGGGCTGCGGCTCCACCGCCCTCTGGGGAACGTAGGCCTCGGGAGGCAGGTTGGCATAGGGCGGGTACCAGCCGAGGGCGGGGTCGCCGCCGTAGGCGCCGCCGGCGGCCTGCGCTGCGTCGGGGCCCGGGCCGGGGAGGGCCTGCTCGGAGCCCGTAGCGCCCTCGTGGTAGAGGCTGTGCGAGTAGCGGCGGTCTAGGCCGTCGGCGGGCGGCGGCGCGTAGGGCCTCTCTGGGGCCGGGTAGAAGCCCTGCGGCGAGTACTCGGGCTGCTCCTCGCCCCCTCCGCCGAACTCCTCGTAGCGCGGCCGCGGTTGGAACGGATAGACCACCCCCGCCGAGGCCACAGCCGCCGCCCCGGCGCCGCCGCCGCCCGCCCCGCGGTAGTACACGTAGCCCTGCTCGTAGGTCCGCGCCGCCGGGTCGTAGGTCTCGTACTGGCTGACGAAGGGCGCCTGCGGGTAGGGGAACTGCTGCGGGATGGAGGGCGGCTGGCGGTACGTGCTGGCGAAGGCCGAGGCCGAGACCGAGGAGGCGGAGCCCCCGTGCTGGGAGACCGAGGTGCGAGCCCGGGCCATGCCCGCGCTGTCCCCGACGGCCACCTCGCGCCAGTTATCCGGCACCTGGCCGAAGCCGAAAGGGTGCCGCGCCTGGCCGCGCACGGTGTCCGAGCCCACGCGCCCGGGCAGGGGCAGAGACGGGGCCTGCCGCCGCCGGGGACCTCCTTGGCTGCGCCGCAGCTGGGTCTGGGGGGCGCCCGCCAGCAGCACCCGGGAGCTACCCTCGGCGCGCGGTGCTCCGGCGGGGACGTACTCGGAGCCTGAGTTGAGCAGGCTGTACACCTGCCCGTTGTTCTCCCACTGGATCAGCTGCCGCCAGCGCCCCGAGTCCGGGCCCTGCCCTGGCTGGGCCTGTTGCCCGTGTACCAGGATGCAGAGGCAGGCGCCCCACACCAGGGTTCCCACCTGCAAACCGGCTGGGGCCAAAGCCATGGTGGCCCCTCTGAAGAGACCTGGTGGACCGAGAGGCTCTCAGGAGTGGCCCCCTGTGCGTGCTTCTCTCCCCACGGCCTCGAGGACAGGATGGCTCCTTGCCTGCCGCAGCTCTAGCTTTGTCCATCCTGGCCTTGGTCCGAGCGGGACGGCTCCTCCGATGACAGCATTTCGAGGCCAAGGGGTCAGGGCAGGGCAGGGGCGGTGCCCAAGGCTGCAGGAGGCTCTCTGCAGGGCACCGGGCAGGACCGCCTGGGGGCCTTAAGTGGGCAGCCCTGCACTGGCTGGCTTTGGGGCTGGCGCTTTCCCACTCTGAATGAATAAGCAACAGGCTGGAAGTGTTAGGAGGTTTTAGACAGCCTGGTCTGCCTGCTGGGGTCTCCTCCGCAGGGCCCTATGGCCCGCCGGCTTTTAGCTATGCGAACCGTCCCACAGCTGCTGTGCTCCCTCAGTCCCTGGAGCTCCCAGCCAAGCCACAGACCTGCCTCTGAGGAAGGGAATGAAGCCTGGAGTAGGAGGGGGCCTCTGGGGACTCAGGCCTAGCAAGTGGGGCCCAGGTAGGCAGATCAGGGCTGAAGGGCCAGCAGCACTCTGGCCATTTCTTTCTGCTTTGGACCCAGACTCCCTTCTCTCCAACTTACTGCTTCTTGTGTGGGCTTGAAAGAGCCCCTGACTTCCATTAACTCCAGCCACTCACTAGGATTCCTAGGCTCCCATTCCCTTCCCCAAAGCTAAGAGACACCCTCCTTGTTGATGGGCCTTCTTGGGGAGACGCTGAACCCTAGCTAGAGCGTCCTGAATACAAAGGAGTTGGAGCTCAGCTTTTTCTTTCTTACCCTCCTGGTCTATAGAATGGGCCTATACCCCTGTTTTGAATAGAACTTGTGAAATCATAAGAGACATTGACTTCCTACACATATATGGTTTCTATTTTGTATCTCTTTAGTCAACATAGCCTAGACATATCCTGAGAGGATAAAATGAAACCCAGGGCTGTCTGCTGTGGGACAGGGGATGTTTGGCGTGTTGTGTGCTATAACATAGAATGGCATAACGGGAGATTCAGGAGAATGGGCCTGTTTGAACACTTTGGTGTCTAAGAAATCAATTTCTAAATGTCTCCCCTGGACTGCCTTCTGCCTTCCAATCTTGCTCCTGGGAACTGGAGAGCAGAAATCCCCCTCTGGTGCTTATAAAACAGCTAGGAAGACCCTGCCTTTAACATGGCCACTGCAGATTAACCTTCTACTTTGGGAACTCCTGGAGTCCATCTTGGGAGGAGACAGTCAGAATGGACATTACTCAGGGATCCTGAACCCTTGCTCCCCTGCCAACATTTGTTCACCTATCACATTGTGCTTTAGGACGGGCTGGTTCAGGTGATTCGGAGTTTCCCTCCACCATTTAAATGCTCATAACCTAGCCAGTAGCCATTCAATACTGGTCCTTTAGCTATGCAGTGTGAGTTTGGTTTCAGACTCCTGACAGGACTCCTGCAAGAAGCAACTGGTTTGGCTCACCAAGCCAGATGCAAAACCAGCTTACAGAGGATCACTGGGACTTGGAGGGTTAAGCCTACCCTCCCTCCTGCCTGCCCCCTGCAGTGCTGGCCTCAGCTGCTTGGAATCCCTGGGGTCCTATAGGGCCCTCCTGCCAGCCAGATGGGCTGCTGCGCCAGGAGAGGGAGGAGGTGAAGTGGAAACAGGCCTCAAAGTACCCCCAGGCAGGAGGAATGAAGGGAATACAGACATAGGGAAGCCTCACTGGCCTAGAATCCAGAAGGCAGAATTCAAGCCAGGCAGGAGGCAGGGGCTGCCTCAGGGCTTTCCAGCAGTGGGGAGATCAGGGCTTGGACCGTTGTGCTCAGCAGGCTTCTAACTCTGAACCAGCTCTTGGCACGAAACCCTACCCTATGCTGGCTCTTGCTCTTCTTTCTTTTTTTTCTTAATAAGGTCGAATCAGAGTAAGTCAGAGAAGCCAAGTTTCCTATTAGGCTCTGTTTGAATAAACTGCTCTGAACACAGCGTGGGCCTCTGTACAATCTCCCAAGGCCAGAGCTGCAGCCTTGCCAGCCCCTTGCTGAAACTGGAGACTTGGGGTCCCCAGGATGACGGTGCTAGGGTCTTGGCCCAGCCAGACCTCTGTCCTGGGAAACCAATTAAGCTGTCAGAGCTTCAGATGCTTCATTTATAGTCTGGAGGTAATACCTTTCTTGTGGTATATTGGGAAAATAAATGAGAAGATTATGGAAAGTACCCAGCATAGTACCAGCCATGTGGCCACTATTTTCTTTCTTTTCTCTGGACTGTGAGAGAAGGAAGGGGCTCATCTCTCAAGGGTGCCCCCCCTCCACCATTTTCCCTGTCTCTTTCCTGTTTTTACCTATTTTCAGCATCCTTCCTTGCCCAGTATGAACCTTGTGCAAGGCAGACATCCCTTGGGGCTGTCCTCGTCCCTCTTCTGCATTCCCTCGCTCTGACTTCCTTCTTCCTTCAGTTGGGTTTCCCCAGGGCTCTGTGGCTGACAGGGCCCAGCATCTCTGTGAGCCCAGAGGAGCCTTTGTGATTCTACCTCTCCACAAAGGGCAACACCTTATCTCAGTGGCTGGAGTTGTTCCAGCATCAATCTGATTGAGGCCTGCACAATGGGGAACTGAGAAAGACCTGGAAAGACTGCAGAAGGTAAAGGGCTTGGGTCAAATGAGGGCTTTGAGTCCCCAGGTTGGGCTGATCCTGAGCTGTCTGGAGGTGAAGCAGGCAGGCAGCTCCTCTGGAGGCCTGCCTGTACAGGCCAGGATTCACACCCACATTTTTAAGACCCAGGCATGTGGTTAAGGCTTGCTGCCAGTCCCTGGCACTAGAAACTGTCTCAAGGGACGTTGAAGAGACAGTGATACAGGGCTGAAAAAGCTTGTTGACTATGCATGGCTTTTAAGCACCTACTGTGTGCTCAGCTCTAGACTGGGCTATCTATTGCTGGGGCTCCCTTGGAGTGGTCAGTATCTCTCCCTTGTGATGGAAAATTTTCCAGTCTCTGAAAAATCTGTGGGGGAACAAGACCAGCAGAGAGTTTGAGGATCAGAGAAGGGATGGGAGCCATGACGTGCCTCACTGCTTTGCAGAGGAAAACCAGGAGACCCACTGTGGTTCAGAATGTTTCTGTGGTTGGGAAGGAGTAAGGCAGACTCTGGTGCTCCTGCCCTGTTTCTCACATTGGGCAGAGCTGGGTATCCTCCTCCTCCCATGATCACTAACTGCTGAGTCCAGGCCCTGGCACCTGGGTGGGCAGCTCAGGAAGAGCCATGGATACTTTTTGTACTGAATTGGGAGTGGAAGCTCCAGCCACTCTGGAAAGTGGACTGGAGGAAGTGCTGAGTGAGGTCTGGCAGCTGGCACAGAATTTGCTGACTGGGCAGGGAGAGGACCACTGAGTGACCACTGCCAGCTGGGCCCTGAGCCCACCCTTCCCTTGCAGCCACATCTAGTGCAGTGGTGGGGGAGGTGGGAGGGGTAGGGGGCTTCAGTCCCCAGAGCCCAGGCATAGAGGGAGCTGGAGACCTTTGGTTTGGAAGTATCTTTCTCTAGTGTTGGAACTTCAGAGAAGCCAGGAAGTGGGGGAGGTGAGGTCAGAGACAGATGGGGTGAGAGGGGAAGGGAAGGAACCCACCCTTCTCTAGGACTCATGGGAATTTAGTGGCTCTGGCCATCTCCCACTCAGTTTTTCTTTCTGGCAAGGGCCTCTCTGGGCCCCTCCCCCATGGTTCTTGGGGAAATGGAAATACTGGCCCTAATAAGAACAATCTTGGCATCAAGGCAAGGCTCTGTGGAGTCAGGAAGTGCCTCCTCAGCCCCCAGCCTAGCCAGCTTTCCCCTTTCTGACTTTCTCCTCCTCTCAACAGGTAGCCAGGGCTTAGGGGCCTGCTTAATGATACATTCCTTGTTCCCATCCCCACCCTCTCCAGCCCCTGGGAGCTGGTAGTTGCAGGTGAGGGGACATCATTGCAAGGTGGAGGAGGGGAAAACTTATTCTCATCCCCACTGCCTGAGCCTTCCTTAGAGGAGGTCCAGTCTGTTGCCTGGGGACTCCTGGGTGGGAGAGCCCCTTATGTCAAAGTTGTGGGGTGGAGCTCAGCCACTATGCAGTAGAGAGAAGGAGGTTAACAGATTCCCCTGCCCAAAGGAGTGTGCTGGTAAGACAATGAGGATGCTCAGTCCCTTAGGCTACAGCTAGGCTAATAATGGAGAACTAGCAGGGAAACTGAGGTAAAAACCCTCTGGTCCTAAGGGAAGGCTCTTCTCTTCATTCTCTCTCCATCCTCTCTTTGCTTTTGTTTTCATGCCTTTGTATTTAACTTTCTTCTTTCTTTCTGGATCTCTAGAATTTTTGTTTGTTTCTGTTTTCAGTATATCCATCCATCCATCCATCCATCCATCCATTATTTTTTCTGTCTGTCTCACTCTGCTTCTGGGTCTCACAGTCTCAGTTCTTCCACATTTCTCTTATTCCATCTGCTGATGTTTCTTCCAATTATCCCTTTACTTATCCACTCACTTACTCTGACATCATGTTCCCTGGGCACCTGGCTGGCTACTGGGGTTACAGAGAGAAGCAAACCTGTCTGATCCCCAAAGAGTTTGTAGGCTAGTGAGATTGATACAAATGAACAGAAGGAACAGCATGAGGAGTCCCGAGTGGAGGTAAAGACATTGTGCTGCTTCTTCATGACCTCTGAGAGACATTTCTATCTTCCTCAGTCTCTGCCCATCTGTCTGTCTCTGTCTGTGACTTTCCTGGTGTCACCTTTGTGAGGTGGCTTGCTCTCTGCTCTCTGTGGGACACATGCAATTTGCTTCTTTCCCTGTGGTGAGGGAGGCAGGTGGTTTGGGCAAAGGTAGAGGTAGGTGATAGGAGGAGTGTGGCCTTCAGGGCCAGTGCTGACAGATGTGTGCTCACGGTCATGTCTGACACTGACATAGTTCTGGGTGAGATAAGATGAGGGTCATGGGTATGGATTAGCTCCTATCATATGCCATAGGACAAACAAAGTAAGTTTCTTTCCTGTACTTTAGTGTAAATGACCCCACCTCCAGGAATCCGCTAGGAGTTCAGTTTTGCTCACCTAGGGGCTAGAAGAGGAAGGGACCACAGCTTTAAATAGCTTTTCAATTCAGATTGCAAATGAAATACATCAATGATAGGAAATTTAGAAAGGGTAATTTTCATGACCTACTTTTCTTTCTAGTATTCATGTTGATCACAGGAGCGCCTGCCTACCCAGATGAGGAGGTGCTCAAGATTTTGTTTGCCTGGCTCAGGCAAGGCTCCAGCCTCAGCTCCTCTCC